AAATGCATTGACGTTAAGTTTATTAGGCAAGACGTAGTTGGCTAAAAATAATCTAATATCACAGTAAGAAATGTACGTAGGTATTCTCGCAAGGTTTTTCGTGATGTCTGGAGATTTCGGTATAGGTTTTGCGTTAAAACGGTTAGGTAGAAGTACCTCAAAGTGTGGGGAAATTTACGATAAAAACCCAAAAGTTTTGTGAAATTTCGGGGAAATACCCAAAGTTTTGTAGAAATTTAGGGGAAGAAATCCCTAAGGTCTGGGGAAATTTTGGGTAAATCCCCAAAGGTTGGGGAAAGTTTGGGGTTTTTGTGCCATTTCCCCAAAGTTTATAATGGCGGCTTCCCCAAAATAGGTAAAATTTTCCCCAAAATTGGTATTTCGGGACGTTGTTTATTAATGGATCATTTTTCTTGGATTTAAACTTTAATAAACGTTCTCATTTATAACACATCAGTGTTTTAATTACGGCAATGCCTACCTATCGTGACAAGTCGAAATTCGACCTAGTAGTATGGTAAATCATGTTCAAAGTTGCAGTGTTTGGTAAACAGTGCGTATAACTAATCGCGTGTGCGCTAAACTGGTAATTATTACACAAGAACGCGAAACAACATCCCTTTCTCACAGCCACATAAGACTGCACAGTACACCCTCCCCACCGTAACGCTATAAGAATGATTTAATGCCCATATAAATAAATTTATGTAAAACTAAAAAGATTACAATATTAGAACTTCTTGTCATCAAGAAGCACAGCTATGGTCAGTGTTAACAATGGATTCTGACGACGTAGCTTCATCATTAGCACCGATTAAACTCATCACTTGTGCGCATATGTCTTCCGATGCTTCGAAGCATGAACGGATGAGTTTACTTGCCGAGGGTTCACTAAGAGCATGGATTGAGTGGTAGTTGTTAGTGAACTTCTCAAGCAGATCATCACTCCCGGTAGAAATTGACATGTTGTCCAGCGCACGAAGAACCAAGTCCATTATATATTTCCTTGTCCACCGGCTGCTATGTCGAAATAAGTCTACAATGCTTACAGAGACAAAAGAACAAACACTTACCTCCACTTATTAGATCTTTAGAATGTGCATACAGAATATGCACACAGGACAGCAGGTAGTCATTGAAAGGCTCACAAGCACATCGTGCACGTGAAGTATCCACAACATACATCATACCCTTGTCATAGCACCGGATGTATTCCCCTGCTATAGATTCGTGTCTCATTGACCTAACACGTTTAATTTGAAGCAAAGCATACGTAGATGACCGACGTCGTCTTCTTTGTCTAGGTTGTGGGGGTGAGTTAGAATTTGTGTGCTCTTCGGAAGAATGATGATCACTATCATCACCTACATCCTGAACGCAAGCATCTGACTCTGACGAACTGCGTTTACGTCCATAGGTACAAACATATCTCACGTAAAGATACTTTAGAGTTGGGTCATCATTGTTCTTTTTGCATACTGACATAACGTACCTAGTATACGTATACTACAAAAATAATCATTAACCACAGAACTCATAATACCTTATGTACTTCTTTCAAACAGGTCTCAAAATTGTCCCAACTTGTAAATCTCCGAGATAACATAACATCATTGAAGATTCGTCCTATATCATGCATCATTACGATGGCATCATCTTCGTTACTTGAAGGATGAACGTTATCAGACATGGTGTAGTTGAACTCAATTCAAATCTAAAAATGTCTTCATTTGACCGCCTCTGAAAAACTTCACGAGTTATCGTGTGACGCACCAATCATCTTGAGACAGTTTGACCTTCAAGTGCTCGCAACCCCCAACAGTGATGGTCTTGTTGAGTTTGTAAAGGAACAAGCTGATATAGCTAATACTAGATACGGCCTACTTGTCAACCGCGGTAGTAATAGTGACAATAGAGATGTTGGTGTTTTAAAAGGGAGAATTAGTGGAGATTACAATGCAGCAAGGATATCTTACGCGAGTACTAGTGATGACAATGTTGCTTTACGTAGTTTGTCCTGTTTGGAGTGCTCAAGTATTCATTCTTTAGATCAATGTCAAAAGTTTAAAGACAAGAATGTTAGAGAAAGGAAAGAATTCGTCCTTAGACACAAGTTATGTAATGCTTGTCTGAAGGCAAACCATGTAGCGAAAAATTGTCGATCACCGAAGTCGTGTGATGTTGAAGGGTGCGGCTGGAGACACCATACTCTGTTACACGAGAAGCGAGAAGAACAAAGAAATACTAATGGTGATGCCTACATTAATACTCAGCTTTGTACGGAGGAAGGCTCTAAGTGTATACAGAGACCAGTAGCATTTGCAGTAGTGCCTGTGTGGATAAAAAATGATGAGAAGATTATTCAAACTTGCGCCTTTCTAGATAGCGGGTCAGACACCTCTCTCATAGTTGGTGATCTAGCTGATAAGTTAGGCCTCGAGGGGAAACCGAAAACGGTATCTTTAAAGACTCTTAGTGATGAATCGTCGCTGGTATCCAAAGAAGTCGATATAGAGTTGCACTCGATGGATTTTTCTTCATCCGTTAAGGTCCAGAAAGTATTGACAGTCAACAAATTGCCGGCAGTTTACAAGACTGTATCAACGGCGCATCAAATGGCATCCTGGCCCCATCTAAAAGACATAAGTTTTCCGAGAGTAGAAGATGAGAACGTCAAACTGTTGATTGGGTGCAATGCACCGGGCATACATGAGATGAAAGAGATAAGAACCGGAAAGACGAATGAATTGTCTGCTGTGAGGACTATATTGGGTTGGACGCTGTTCGGCCCTTACAGAGAACCCCGTGCAAGCAACTGTGTACTGAATTACCTCTCGGCTAAGGAGGAATTAGATGATAAGTTTGAACAATTGCATTCAAGTGAATTCAAAGAGCCATTTAGTCGTACTTCATCGATATCTGTGGAAGATCGCATAGCGTCACCAGAATCGTACAAACGAATGGCTAGTCAGACTCATTGCTCCGCCGACGCCTCAGAATCTGCATGTGGTGTTGCGGAGTATGCTCGTTCCGAAAGTGTCTCGTCAAGTTCATTGCTCCTTTTTATTAGCCAAGTACAAGGTTTTTAAGCCAAAAAGTGAAGCACTAAGACTCTGAAGAAGCATACAGCACACATTCGCCGTTGTATCGAGGATGGTCTCGAGAAAGGCGCTCTTGTACGAGTTGTGAATAAGACTAAGGGTGCATCTGATAGCTTTACAGGAACCAATACTATTCTCAGACAGATCAAGTGTAGTTGCAATCAGAATAAGATAGCAAGTGTCCTTTTTGAGAGAGGTTGTGAATGGCGTTTCAACCCACCTAGGACAAGTCATCGAGGTGGTGTGCGGGAACACATCATAAGATCAATTAGAATAATTCCAAGAGTGCTTTTATTTCAAAACGTGTTGATCGATGGAGCTCTACAAACGTTCTTGACCGAGGCAGGAAGGATACTGAATAATAGACCTCTAGTTAAAATGACAGACGATCCCGGTACCCTAGAGGCTCTTACTTGGAATAAGTTGTTGATTTATAAAGGATTATCATTCGACGGTGCTTCGGTGGATAAGGCGTTATTATATAATAAAAGATGGAAAGAAGCTCAAAGATTAGCTACCGCATTCTGGAATAGATGGATGAGAGAGTATTTACCGACTCTCTAAACAAGAGACAAATGGTTGAACGTACACAAAAACTTACAACCGGGTGACCTAGTTCTTGTTAGTAACGTCGAAACGAGTAGAGGTCTATGGCCTAAAGCTATTGTTGAACAAGTAAGCTATGGTCCTGACGGTCGAGTTCGTACGGCGAAGTTGAGAACCGCAAACGAAGAAATTGTTCGAGACGTACGAAGCTTATGTCTACTGGAAGAAGCCGGCTATCTAACGGCGACGACGACCCAAAACAATGGACGTGGTGCGCGTTTCGGGGGGAGTGTAAAATGTGATCGATAAACGAACGCACCAATGATAAGGTGAAACGCCCACCACCACGTTAACTTTCTTTGACCTTGTATGACTATACCTTTTTTTATCCACCAATCATAATTTTATGTTCATTATAAAACAATATTCGCTTTGCTGACTCATTTTTTTATTCTCTGATTACTGTTCGGTATGTTAATTATGTCTCCGTTTCCCCTACGTTAATAGACTGTACTGTTTATTTTGTATACTAACGGTGTGTAATTTATGTTTTAGAAACAGATAAAGTTTATCAGGCCAAATAGCTTACTTGTTCTGACTTTGGCTAAAGCAAGACTCTGTATTCGACAGTTTAGAGAATAGCTTAGTTAAACCTGTAGGGAATTGTTTCCTACACAGAGTTTCTCCATCAAGTGTGATTGGGTTAGTGCTCTCCGTGTTGTATTTGAGGACCTTGTTTTTCTCCTTGTGTATGTTGAGGCCTACTGATGCAGAGACCGCTGCTACACTGGTTGTCTTCATCTGCATTTGTTCGGGGACATCAACACAACATTTCTTGAATTCATTTTTTTATTGTTTGTTCGGATCTTTCCATCAATGTTTAGTACTGTAATTGATCAGCTACTTATTGGCATATATGCTCCTGTATGAATAGAAAAGGAATTGAAAGCTCAACCCATTTCACGAGCTTGTGGCTATCAGAGCTCAGTAGTAAAGTGGACAACGCGATGGCGCTTGAAGTGAACGGTACTGGGTTTGAGTCCCAGAACGATCATCAACTCTGGGATGCAGGTACATCCAACTGGCGGGTCCTAAGTAGGAAGGAACGCGCGTCCTGGATCCCACTCCTAGCCACCGTCCACCTTTGCTTACATCATTGTTCGTTATATATTTATTCATCATTCGACTTGTGAATAGACATTATCATAAGTAGCTTATGTTTCCTTACTATGCTTACTAAACAATTGTTTGTTTGTGGCTACTTACTTTCACCTCTGAAATTTATCTATAAATCATTGCCTGATTTCCATGCAAAAACTGTAGCTAATTTTCAGAATGTCTGTTAAATCTTTTCGTGAACAATATTCAACATTTAACATGTAAACCAATAAATTTACTGTTTTGTATTTGCAAAAACAAGCAATGTATAAGTGAAGCCCTGAAAAATGACAAATCTTCACAAATAAGCAGTATATAATTACGAAAATATTATAAGATACCTACAATAAATTAGTATTCATAAATACACAGGAATTAGTCTTTAAAAATACTAGCTGAGTAATCAACAAAAATGTATTTTTCCCATTTTTGAAATATGATTTATACATAAATATGTTGAAGTGTGAAAGACATTATTGCATGAGCCTCAATAAAAATTACACTTGAAGACAAGGTAGCTTATTTTTAAACACCTGGAAATAAACAACTAAGATGAAGCCTAAAATTGCACCGAGTGCTGCTCCAAATTGTGTAGATAACCCAGCTAATCTGAGTCGCGTCGGTCTATTGGAATGGCTAGACAAACTCATCCATATCCATGTACGCAAACTGGCAAATAAACAGCGTATCGCAATCCAAGCCACGATCTATAGGATTTAGAAGACAATAAATAATCTAGTGTAAAAAACATTGATGTATTACAGTATTTTGAATGTTTGATTAAATGATAGGAACAATCACTTAGTTATTTGATAGCTTAGTGTTCACGACCAAGTGATGTCCCACATCACCAAGCATCCCTAACTATATTCATACTGGAACACATAATCTAACAAGCAATATTGCAGAAAGTCGGGCAGTGAAACATTGATCAAAGTGGCCCCAATTCAATCAGTATCAACAGGTTAAGCAAACGGGTTAAAATGATACTAGCGGTAGTAATAATAAACTGGAAAAAAAATTAATAATATATATATGCTCAGAATTTACGAGTACATCAGTTATTAACACGATCGCACTGATACTAACAAGTTCTTATTCATTTTAATCTCAGTATCAAAAGTAGATTTGGGGAATCTCATGAATTCCAATAACAAAACCAACAGTTCTCTGTACAGTACCTGCAGATTAATATAAAGTTTTTATCCGAGCACCCTGAAGTTCAATTCTTCCTATTTGGATTAGTATATCAAGGTGACGTGACAGACATTTAATTACCTCAATTAATGCATATAGAAACTCCCATTAATCGTACTGTCACCGTCACTTATCTCCTAAATTCCATAATGCTTATTCAATAGGTCCCATCATCACATAATTAAGCTTTCTTTTATCTTCTTGACATTTCGGAAAACGACTTTTGTCTTACAGTCAATCATTAAAACAGACCATTTAGATGAGTTAGAACAACAAGTTCATAGTCCAACACCAACAATCAATATGCATACATGGATGCATCGATTGACAGATAAGATAAAAAAAGAATTAGCAACCCGTTGCAAAAAGTTCTCCTGTACGTTAAAATTCACTAGAAAATTCGATGCATCATAAAATGTATTTCCGTTTGATATCAAATTAGTCGTGACGTTAACAGAAATGAGCTACGTTCAATCATGAATAGAGAATGAGTATACGAAAAAATAAGGCCACATAATATAGTGATCAAATAAATGGTAAAATATTGCTTTGTGCTAAACAAGCATAAACATTTATCGAAATTTCTAAGTACAAATGGTATTTATTGGTTATTGGGAATGAAACTATATTTGTAGAAATCTAAGTGATTGAAATAGAGCGATTCGGAACAGTGATGCGTTTCTCAGATAACATATCTTCACATCAAAAAGATTCAATACTTCACTTCTACCTAAAGTTTTCGCTGATTATGTTGTTCAGAAGAACAAGGAAAGCTTCACGACCAAACCATTCAGCTCAGAGAACGAAACTCCACCAGAAAGATTCAAAATATAATGACTGGTTAATTATTCGGTACAAATTTATCTTTGTGATTCTATTTATCATCAAGCGAAGAAATTATTTGGATTCAATCACTGAGATCTTAATAAACATCATTAGATTTTTAATCTTTTCTACAAATAAAGTAAATGAACCCACTCACCAGGTATTTGAGTAGAAGTCACACTCTAAGTGTGAGGGGTTAATGCTGCTATCCGGTTGCTTAAACTGACATAGGTGGAACGAGATTTTCCTATAATCTAGGTATTTAATTTCTATCCATTTTTCACAATTGGGGAGAAAAATCAAATCTACATATAACTCGTATTTCATCAAGTTGTAATTACACTAGGTGTTGATAAAGTACTAACACAATTTTATTGACTAGGACTGGAAAGCCTTATAATATGAAAATAATCCATTAAAATAAACATCATAAAAAAAGAATAAAACCAAGACGTAACGTACAGCACTGGCAGAACCGAAACCACCGAAATATGGTGGATTGGGACTTGAACTCGCCAAATAGATAACGTAAGCAACAGGTAACAAAGAGATGAGCGAAATACTAATCCAATTATTTTGAAGTGAACGCGTATATGCATTATTCATAATTATGTCACGTTTTTGTATGTAACAAATTTGATTCTGTTCATTTAATTCATGGTTCATAGTTTGCAAATTTTCGAATGTTGATTCATCAGTATTATCTATTTCCCTAGAATAATGATTGACAAGAAATGTAGTTAACACCGTCATTGCAGCAGAGAATGATCCTGACAGTGTAACTGCTAAATGATATGTAAGCGAGCCATAAGCAGCACATGAATAAGATTGTATGGCTGGTAGAAATCCATAATTTGATGCACTAATGTAAATGATAAGTAAACATGATAAAAATGTGTTTGGTCCAAGCTGTTTTGTAATACTAACATCATTATGAGACTGTACAGTTTGTTCAATATGATTCAACACAGAAACATCGACTAGAAAAATAGGCAAAATGGGATTTGAAAGAGGAATACTGAACTTAAATTTATAGTGTATTGTCCAATGTTTAAAAAAGAAAACTAAGATATTTTCTCCCCATTAAAAATATGAATTCACGTTATTTTTATAATAGCTCAACCTTCAAGTGAACGGTTAGCAACTTAAGCTGTGATATATTATGGCAAACAGTATGGAGGTATAACTTTTAGGGCTACAATATGAAGGATTACTATTTATATATTCATCGTTAAATTAGCAGACGCTTAGATTGTTTTATAATTATATTTTGATATTACTAAGCTTTTCTTTGGCCCATATGTCATTGTCATATATGTCTTATTTTAGATTTATCGGCACGACCATAAGGAAAGTAGAACAATCCAAGCAATCTGTTCCTCTCATTTTAATGTTGTATTAGTCTGGTACCTAAACGGTTGATAATATCTTCTAATCACTTTCTATTTCCACAGGACCTCCAACAATTGAACACAAGACGGAAGAATATAGGGGACAAGTATAAAAAAAGCTTTACTTCCATGATAGGTCAATGTAAAAAGAGCAAGAATATTGATGGGTTTACGAATGACCTTGATATTCTGAAAGCTGAAATAAAATTAGTAACGAAATCGGCAATTATCCAACCAAAATATGACACATAATCGATGGTTTTTCTAGAGGTTTGCAGGATATTTCTATTTATTGCTTGTTATGATAAAGCATTTTCAATCTTTCCCTACCTTCTAAAGACACTTCCGATGACTTCTCGAGGAATCTCAACAAAAGTGTTTCCGGTCTTTATAGAAATCATGGTACTCAGTACCAAACGTTACCTAACAGGGTTTCTTACCAATCATTTACTGATAAAAAAGTACATGAATCTTGCTTGAGGTTGACTAAACAGGCGAAATTGAGTTTCAGGGATGAAAATCACGTGGAATAGGTAGAAATAAATTGATTACCGAATATTACTACTATTGTAAATGTATATGTCTTATTTGAATGTCTTGCAGGTGAATTAAGACTCTAAGAATTAATTACACATATTAACGCCAAGAGCAGATATTCATGTTATAACTGGAAAAATTGCCTTGTAATTTTTCCCGTGAAATGTGAAAAGAGAAACATGTATCGTATTTTTTGTGCAAGTCACAATCATATGATAGAATACCTCAAGTTGTATATCAAATTTGTATGTCCAAATGCCCACATACAATCGAACTGAGATATGAGATTATGCATATTGGAAACATCGAATTGCTCATAACATATCAATATATAAACCCTACATTATTTCGTAGAGGCGGAGATATAGGCGCGCGATGTAAGTGTTATATCCCGACGAGAACAATGAATGGTAGCTGTTGGCATCAATTTATGGACAAATACTATACACATATTTTTATTGTATAGTTGTTAAGTAACTATGCATATTCATGTTCCCCCTATTATAAAATTTATTTTGACGCACAGACTATTATACGACTTACCATTCTTAAGTTCTGGCCAGTCTATTAATTGCAGTTTCCCTCAATCACAGTCACTTTTTGGCTTGATCTTGTGCAAATGTTATTTTCTATTATATGTTTGAAATATATTATTTGTATCGCGGAGGCTGAGATTTGTGTTCTGGACTCAAGAAGAACCGATAAGGACTCTAGACTGCTTGTACGGGTTTATGCGTCATTGGTCTGGTTGATACGTCACTGTTCTCTAACTGGCGGTATCATTATGTTATATATTAATAAGGCACAATGCCACAAGTAATGACAGAGAGATTTGGTGTCACAATGCTGATCCAATCTTTTGAAATGATTAAGGGACAAAGACTACTTACAAACTTAGAGGGCAGTGAAAAATATGATTGGTTGTTGGGCGTGTATATACATAATTTAGTATTTCTATCCCTGTATATTTATTTTTGTTGTTCGAGTTTACTGGGATATACTTTGTCCCTTTCCGATTTTTGTTTTAATTTATTATACCAGAACTCATCGATTTATGCTTAAGAACATATTTTCAATTCAACAATAAAATCTACGAATAGATGAATGGAACACCAGTGGGATTACCAATAACAGGACTTATTGCAGAAGCAGTGATGCGAAGACGGGAAGCCAAAAATGTGAATTCGTTATGTGGACGACACATAATTCATCACTAAAAAAGAGAGCTGGAAAACACCTACAATTTGATCAACAACGTATTCGTTGACAGGAAATTCACATTGGAAAAGGAGTCGAGCAATAAACTATCATTCTTGGATGTACTGATCACTAGAACCGAGACTAAAAAAACGCAGACTTAAGCATATCAAAAGCCAACCCACACAAATTAAATTCTCAACTACAGTAGTAACAACTCAAGAACTCACAAAATCAGCTCCGTGCAAATTTCATCCAAAAGAGTGAGAACACACTATTGCACACACCAACTCACCAGCAAAAACGAAGTCAAATATAAAAACCAACAAACAGATCATCCTACCACACATAAGAGACAGATTAGGAATTACGATATTATTGAAGCCATTTAAAATGGATGAAGTACACAAGCTAGTGGAATCACTTCAATCAATCCACATGCAAACTGAGGGGTGAAAGATCAGAAGAAAAACCCAACATTATTTACAAGATGAGCTGTCCAAATTATGAGAAAAAACTACATCGCTTGCACAAATATCAACTAGCAGTCAAATGCCATGATAGATCTTCGTTTATATCAATGAATGTGGACAGCTGTGGATATACACTCGATTAGAAACAATTTTGAAAACTAGGATAGAGGGGATATTAAGAACACCGGGAAATTTTTAAAAGCTTGGGACTCAAGTCAATCAGAAATCAACAAACATATCGAAATTGATTTATCGACCAATCGAAAAAATCATGAACAGATATAAGATCAAGAATCAGATCAAAGGAAGATATAATCAAAATGAAGATGCAGATAATCCCAAGTCAACAATAACCAATTAAGATTGAAATCGATAGAACAACCTGTGAATCATATGTGGATAAATTCGAACATTTCACTTCTACCTGAAGTTTTTACTGTTGTTGAGAAGAAAAATGTAAGCTCCGCGACCAAATCATACATCACAGAGAACGAAAACCCAATAAAATCGTCCACCTAAGCTATAAACCTTTTCCCCAATTTAAAAATTATATGTGCGCATACTAGACAGTAGAAGAGCATAACATAAACAACATAGAATATAAACATTAAAAATAGATGACATGAAATTATTAATCCATCTGTACATATAGGCCATATGAACGGTAACTCTTATTATTATTACTATTGTTATTAATAGTAACAATAATAGTAATAATAATAAATTTCAGTAATCTAGTACATCTATAGATGTCAATCTACCAACAACGGAAGAAATCAGGATAGCCATCAGACAAATCAAGAGCGGGAAAGCAGCAGGACCCAACAATACACCAGCTGAAGCACTGAAGTCCGACATCGAAGTAACTAAAAACATGCTTCACCTTCTATTCAAGAAGATTTAGGAGGAACAAGTGCCGATAGACTGGAAAGAAGGACACCTCCTCAAGATTCCAAAGAGAGGCGATCTGAGCAAACATGAAAACTACAGAGGCATCACACTACTGTCAGTACCAGGGAAAGTCTTTAACAGAGTGTTACTGAACCGGATGGAAGACGCAGTATACGCCCAACTTCGAGATCAACAGGCTGGATTCCGTAAGGATCGGCCGTGCACAGACCAGATTGCGACACTACGGATCATCGTCGAACAATCAATTGAGTGGAACTCGTCACTCTACATCAACTTCATTGATTATGAAAAAGCATTTGACAGTGTAGATAGAAGAACGTTATGGAAACTTCCTAGACACTATGCACTTCCTGAGAAGATTGTCAACATTATCCAGAACTCATACGACGGATTACAGTACAAAGTAGTGCATGGAGAACAACTGACAGATGCATTCCAAGTAAGGACCGGAGTCAGACAAGACTGTCTACTCCCTCCCTTCCTCTTTCTTCTGGTGGTCGACTGGATTATGAAGACCTCAAGATCTGAGGGAAAACACGTAATACAATGGACAACTCAGAACCAATTAGACGATTTGGACTTTGCAGATGACCTAGCCCTCCTATCGCATACACACAAACAAATGCGAATGAAGACAACCAGTGTAGCAGCAGCCCCTGCATCAGTAGGCCTCAACATACACAAGGAGAAAACCAAGGTCCTCAAATACAACACGGAGAGCACCAACTCAATCACACTTGATGGAGAAACTCTGGAAGATGTAGAATCCTTCACGTACCTGGACAGAACCATCGATGAACAAGGAGGATCCGGTGCAGACATAAAGGCACGGGTTGGCAAAGCAAAGCCAGCACTTCAACTATTGAGGAACATATGGAACTCGAAACAACTATCAACCAATATCAAACTCAGGATCTACAATACGAACGTCAAGACAGTTCTACTGTACGGAGCTGAAACTTGGAAAACTACTACAAACATCATCAAAACGGTACAAGTATTTGTAAACAATTGTCTATCCACGATACTCAATTTTTGTTGACCGGAAGCCATCAGCAACAGCCCACTGTGAGAGAGAACAAACCGGCTTCCAACAGAAGAGGAAATTAGGAAAAGTCCGAAGAACACACTACGTCGAGAATTGGAAGCAAACTTGAAAAGGATGTATAACAACTGGAAAGGATTGCCCAGGACAGGGTTTGATGGAGAATGCTGATGGGCTGACAATGCTCTTCCACGAGGGATAAGAGGCGTAAGTGGGTTTATGTTCAATGGAAACAATTTTCAAGGTTAGATTGTTGAGTATCTGGTAAATTTACTCTGTGTGTATGGCAAATTCATGATACTCCTAAAGTCTGACGCGCTGTTTAGCAACGACAACTTGAGTTCAAACTGAAACTCTCACCAAACAATATTTCATTTGTGTAATATGCATAAATTCCGATACGTTGGATATCAAAAATAAGAAGATAATATTATGAAATGAAACCAAAAGTATATAACTAAATTAAATAACAACAGAAGAGGAAATTAGGAAAAGACGTTAGAAGTGGATATGACATATATTATGAAAATCATCAAACTGTTTCACGAAGCAAGTCCTGATTTGGAATATTGGAGAGAAACGGAAAGGAGGAAGACCAAAGAACACATTACGTTGGGAAATGGAATCAGATATGAAAAAGATGAATAACAGCTAGAAACAGCTGGAAAGGATTGCCCAGGACGGGGTTGGATGGAGAATGCTGATGGGCTGACAATGCTCCTTCACGAGGAGTAACAGTCGTAAGTAAGTAATCTAGTACATATCAGTGTACGGTTCTTTGAGTTATATTCATTGTTAGAAAATAATATTATTTAGCTATATAAACTGAAATTTAAAAGTAGTTCAGTCAGTAACTGTAGAAATTACCAGGTTTGTTTTCTCTACACGATTATCATTATACCCAAGCCTTTTCCACATAATAAATTTACGCTTTGTTAATAAGTTTTCACTTTCGATTCATAAAAATGTCGTCATAAAATCAAATTCATATAATTCCATAAACAAAAGTAAAATAAACAAAATAGGAACATACCATTTTGAATATTTTCGAAGATATCACTAGAAATATGTTGATTTCCACTTGATTTAGATCTTTCTAGATTATTGTGACTTATGCTATGAATATTTGCATTACATTCTAATATGAAATTAGTTTTTCGATAATGTTTATGAATAACTTGACCTAAACCAATAGGTGAACAATCCAATAATATGAATGCAGTTAAAGATACCAATAAAACAATACATAATAGATATATGAATGTACTGACAGAGAAACGTGGTGGTGGATAAAAGGGGACCACACGAAGTGTATCATTAACTGAAGAAAAAAACAAATAAATAAATTGGAAGAATCATCATCAGTTTATCAGAATTGTTTATTTTATTATTAAGAAAATGTATGTTAATATTTCGATACATATTTGTTAGTATGTTTGCGCTATTTCAATTCAACATATTTTCTCTAAATATAAAAACATTACACTTGTAGTGTCTAGTACTATGACAAGTCCACATAGGTTATCCTAGCTTTCAAATAGACCGAATGATTTATAATTAGACCTTATCAATTATTACTAACCTTGACTGTTTTTGTATGAGCGTATTTGTATTGCTTACCTTATTCATTACATATCTTGAGTTTATTTTTGTCTGGGCATAAATAGTGAGTCGCTCTTTATCAAATTGGGTTGGCACATTGCCTTCGCTTTGCTTCACCTTCCCACTTCTCACCCTTAATGTCTGTCTGAATAAACGAATTCCTGAAATAAATTTATTCAACTCAATCCGTATTTGGCCTCTTATTACACCGTCGCACAAACGAGGTTAACCTAGGTGTAATATACGAAGTTAAATGGAAGAGTTATATCTATGGCGTATTTAAAACGTGACTCAAGAAGAATAGACAAATTAGTCCATCCGGGAGCTACAATAACTTATATGGGCTAGATACAGTACTAGACGCTACATACTATCTGTTAACATTATTAACTAATAACTAGGAAGTGATCCCGTGGTTAAGGCGTTTGACTTTCAAACACTAAGTTGCAGGTTCAAAACCTGTGCAATCTACCTGGTATTATCTAAGTGACCCTTCCTCTAATAATTAAAATGAGGCTTCAAGCCAAGTAAACGAATGTGTAACCGGTAATTTATTGATAGTAATTATTTTTAGTATTATGGATAGAAAACTTAGGAAATAACCAAATCGATTAATTCTAAGGCTCTCCACTGAATCTTCGCAATTATTTAACACCACAACAGTGCATAAAATGACGAGTCACTCAGTCTAGTGGGTACATTGCAATCCGATTAATAAAATTCAACCACACTTTGGGACTAGACAACATAACATAGCTTACTACCCAATGATTAGTTAGTTTAAACATTGCTATTGTGAAGAAGGAGGGTTCTAAACTCAAAAACTGTCATTTACTTGTGAGTAATAATCATGACAGTTAAGTGAAGGGTTCTGTCGCCACGTTGGCAAGTACGCTATCTATCAGTCGGCTACATAAGATTTTCACTATAAGAGGATGAATCCCATTAATTTATTTCGAATCTTTACAGTTTTCACGAACTAAAGTGATATAAGCACATTATGTACCGATCAGTAATAATAAAATGAGTATAGCATACACTAATCAATAACCATTTCATCCAAATACAAAAAAACATTATTAGCACCAACAATAACATAGATGTAATATCATTTTAAACCTTGTCAGATAATTAGTTCTATGCATACATAATCTTATATAAAAAGAAAATCACACTAATTATACCTGTTTTATTGATACATTCCGGTTCTGACCCAACTCCTTGAATAAGGGCTAATATACTTGGAACTAAATCACTAAATGCTTCACCGAAATGTAATGCACCTACATACAATTGAGGCATTCCATTCAAATAGGTAATAAATGTAACCGATGATGTACAATCAACAATTGAAGCAAACAAAGCTAAAACAAATAATCCAATACTATGGCAACCAGGTTTTAATATTGATACGTAAGCTACCGACTAAAAATAAGGAAGAAAAGATGACAATAAAAAAAGTATGATGATGAAATGAAGATATAAATACTGAGTGAATTGATATTAAGTATTACATTTATAAAAAAAGAACGACTATTCATTCAACTACTGGTGTGAATAAACATTCTAATTACTCAGTTTCAACAAGTGAATTGAGAGTTAAAACTTATTCCTTTTGCTAATGTTAAACTACAAATGCAGACAAGCATAAGTCAATACGAAACAATAAATAATTTACTATATTTTAACGACCACTATATACAGTGATTATATGATTGTCTTTGAGTAATTAAATTTACTAAATGCCCGACTATAATTGATGCGTTCTTCTACCGTTTAGCATTTCTTGAAGAATATACATCACTCAATTCTATCCAAACCAAAACAAGAACCAAAGGGGACAATATATTTTTCAATAAACTCGAACAACAAAAGCATTAGAGCTTAGGTATAAAATTTACATAATAATATTCTAGCATTCTCTCGATTCATTCGCTGACACTGATTAATTGAAAAATAAATTAGTTAGCGTATACTGATATGATTCTGACCACAATATTCAATAGTTAGGACTTTATTCAGCAAACAATAATGGTAAAAGTTGATGTAAACCTTAAATACCAAAGTTGAGCTCAAACCTTCAATTTGATGAATTAAAATCGATTATCTAAACCGATCAGCTAGAATCACAATTAAATTAAGACACAATTACAAAGTTAACCCAAGGGATAATTAAATATTCAAAAATTTTGATGAGCAATTAGTGATTTTTTTATGGGTCACATACAAGAATTTGTACCAAAGTGTGCTATTGTATCTTCTTAAACATGATTTTAATATGTGATTAGAAACTGTGAAAGTGGTAACACAGTATTTTATTTTCTGTTTTAGAAATGACTGTAAGTTCAACTCTCTCATTCTAATTACCCATATAGAAGTAGGATCACTTCGGTCATTGAAGAAGCGAAAACAATTAGCAATAAGTGACGAAGAAAACCTAATGACCATATCAAAATAACTTTACCATTAAATATATTGATTTAGAAGCTTGTAAAGTAAAGATAGATATCTTAAAGTTTAGGAACTGTCATAAATTTTTCGCTAAGGATAAAATAATAAACCATGTAAAAATGTTACAAATATCCATTTAAAGATTTTGAAACGATAATTGGGTTTAGGAAAAATTTTTGTACTAGGTAAAAAGCAACCAAATGCATAACCTCACAATTGACTATATTCAAAAAAGAATAAGTAAATTTTCTCATCCAAAAATAATTATCTATACTTCACTTTATAAGATGTAGGACTGTATCAAACGTGAATCATATTATTTTCCAGATTTGAGTACTGACAGAATTATGACACAAAGAATGTTCATATTGAAAAAGTGAAAAAATAAACTGACACTATGATAGATGTACCAGAAGAGATAAACGCAAAGTATTATTTTGGAAATTGATACACTTGTATACCGACTCAAGTGACCATAATTTTTATCAACATAAAGCAAAGAAGGCAACGGTTGTGAAGCGCAGTGTTTAAGATTTGATACTGATACGCAATTTTACCATATAAGAGCCCAGCTGGTTATTAGTGAAAAGACGGAGTGATAAAGTTCATTAGCTACACCAAATCGACAAGTATATGTACTCGTATACATATATATACCCCTTAGGACATTAGTTCAGCAATATTGTTTGTTAGATTTGCAAGAAATATAAGCCATTTATTGACCAGTAACATGAGTATAACCGAAAGAATGAAAATAAATCAGTAAGATGAGAATTATAATGTATAGAACGAAAAAGTACTCCAATTCAAAGAAAGCTAAGCAGTGAATGTGTCCACATCACTTGATCCGTTGTTCCACGAAATGACTTTCCTAGACTGCTTAGTCAGGAAGACAACATGATTCTTTACATGACATAGACCAACTTCCCAAACCTTAGTATATTGATCCAACATATATTTATCTGATCACTGAACATTTTTCGCCCTACTTCAACTCCAAGCAGCATAATGAGTTAAAGTTGATGATACAGCGTACAAAGTGCATCTCAATCAACGACTACAGTACACAACTTCATCAAATAAGTATCACATTTTATCTAAAAATATACATCTGCATACACCACTACTCGTTAATTTTATTAAACATAGATAAGAGATCTGTTGAAGGTGTCTGTAAATTGACAGTTGTAACACATTTAGACACTTTTCAACCGATAATCAGGTACCATGAAGTGTTGGTTAGTAGACTTGACCATTAATAAACATTAGGTTATGTTACTGCATTCATAGATGTTGCGAAAATTCCTAGTAAGGACTTATCTTGAAACAACGTTCTGTATTTGCGGGGTCAAGACAAAAGTGAACTATAATGAGAAATGGATATCTCCGACAAAAAACACTAGACGTAGTTACTTATAACGTTACCAGTAAAAAGTGTTCTAAATAGAATGTCAATTAGGTAAACTAATAATGTTAGCAAATTGATGAGTTTTTATTGAGGGGCAAACAAAACTCGTAAGGGTTAATACTCCTTGATTATCAACAAAATCCTAGTGAGGAATTCAGACTGAATGTAGGCAGCATGTTCTTACAGAATACACTGAGATGGCAAATTACATTATTGTCTACACAACCATATACTATCTGGTATTTTTTGCTCCTGAAAAGTGAAACAGTATTTCAAACTATCAGCACGACTAAAAAACAACACTTCGAATGTCAGTAGCAAAGGTGAAAACAGCTTTAATTCCCTCGACGCTCCAGAAAGTCTTGATCTAAAAGGTCTGACGAATGAAAAATATATGTGTAATTTTTCATAGCATTATGAGCATGATATCACAATTTTGCGACTGTTTGCTCATCCCAGAATATGTCATTCAATTTGCAAACTTCGGTCAGTATTGTGGGATGGTGAGTAATTGAATGATGTCTTCTCCTTCATTTCCATTAAGTCTTTATACTTATAAAAGACTTTTATGTGTTTTAATAAGTTATTTCATTCGATTTATCACAAACCATTATGACGAAATGAACAGATGTATATCTGTATTTATTTAATTATTTATTTTAACACATAGATATTGGTACAGGGAAGCACCAAGTACATATGCGCCACACGAATCTCAATTGATTTGTGTGAGGGCTGTGATACTGCTCGGGTGCCCAAACCGAAGCAGGTGGTTTTCTTAGGGGGCCACACCCCGAGCTGTCGACCTGAACGTCTGACCCACACGGCAGTGGAGCATCGTGAGGAGATGCAGTCCCATGGAAGCCGGTGACCAACGATTGGTTCATACGCCATTTGTTCCTTCAGGATACTGGAGCCCATGTGCACCACTGGTTTGGGGTTCGGTTAAAGCGCCGGACATTCGCTTTTCGTCCTCTCATTTTCGTAAACAACACCCCCGCCACGAGAAGGCAGTGAGTAGGACTTCCCTGGCAGAGGCTATATACGCATGGTCATGTGAGAGCATTTCGAGAGGGAGAGCGGACTCTCCCCACTCTCGGCCGTACCAGGGCATTTGGGGGCATGTATATCTGTGCCAAATTTTAAGTCATTAGAAACAATTCAAAATTAAATACCAATCAAAGGAATGCAACATTAATTTAACTACACCATCAACTAAAAAGCATACATGTGCATAGAAAAATTAATGAATTATCAGTTAAAATAATTATCATGCAGTTGAAACTATTTGAGATATTAAGAGAATAAACGACAAACTGATTCGTATCAAATTATTTCGAAACTGATAGGGTAATTTTTAGGTATCAATGCCCAGGTTGAACTTAATAGTTTTAAATAAATTGAGAATTGGGTAAAAAGTTAATAACAAATATTTTGTTATATCCCGAGGAGTAGAAAATTGTATTTCTGGCGTTTCATGACTTAATGTAAGCCACTTCTTCAGAGTAAATAAATAACGGAATTAACTTAACACAAGCTTGAATAGTACAAAGGAAGAAATAGTGAATATCTGTAGTAAAATCAAAATCGCAATAGGTCTAAACATGTGAAAGTCATGTTCTTTTGGTCAAGATGATTCTCTATGGCATATCAATATATTTATTTGTGTGTAAGAAGGTTTCTTCAGTAAGACAGTAACAACTCCATGAATGTTTTTCAACATTTTCAAATGCATAGTTCAATAAAGATCTGCAGTTTTCTCGATAATCAAAAGATAAAATATATCTAAATCTAGATAACATAACAGTACTTACGTCCCAAAACTGCGAAATCAATATGCATGATATTAGACCGACGGTGAGTATTAAATAGTTGGCTATCCTTTCAGGTGGTTGTAAACAACGTGAACAAAACCCATTTGTTTTAGCTTGGAAAAATTTTGTCAACGGAACATAGATCATTGGTCCCAAATTTGCTATCTGGTAATGTATAAACAAGAAAAATGTGAAATATCTGTACTTAAGGACAAACAGACAGTGTAAAGATGTGGACAAATAAAAAGTTAGATTCTACTCCTTCATACGTCATTCATGCAACCACATTACTAGTAGCCCGCACGTTTTTATACGGTTTAAGCAGTTACGAAGTATGTTTCCTGGTATTCGACTACGCAGACGAATATTATATCTACTGTGCAATACTCCCTTTGGTAATAATAATATAAGTGTCTTACAAACATTCTTCTTAATTGTAAAATTATTTCTAGGGAGACTATGGATGGTGTTCGCATCATAGAATGATACTGTGTCAACAAAGCTACCGAGATCAGAGAGTATCGGACAGTTGCTTCATTTTATTTGGGATTTTTCAATAGAGTTTACTTATCGTTCTTCTCAGGACACTATTCAGGATTTTGACGTCCCGCGATTGGTACATTGCTTTTGATTAACTGAATTTAAAACCGATCGTTAACATTTCCTAAAATTAAACTACTCTACTAAGCAATTGTGATAATGAAGTACCAGTCATCATATAAAAATTCCGGGAAAGAAAAAAAATGAATTTTATTCTCATCATAGGCTACAAATTTTTTATGTCGAGGGAAGCCATTTGGTTGCTAAAGCGACTAGCTGAGATCAGGATTCTAATGAAGATTATGGAGTGGAGCATGGAGATAGTAGAAATATAGAAGAAAATTCATATAGTATGAAATCGATTGAACTAGACTATATGGATAAATTCAAGCTTCTCATATAGAGTACACCATAAAGTTAAAATTGATAATTAGACACATTAAACTCTTTGTGAAAGTTTGTATGAAGTATAGTTCCTCATAAACGGAAGGGAGCCTATTATTGGATGTTTATTTTCATAAAGAGAGAAAAATCCCTGATACAGTAGTAACTGAAAGACTAATTTCGGCAACCAAACGTTATCTTAAATTTGTATGTAGCTTTATGTGCATTTAAAGGCAGTACCGAATTTCCGATACAAATCACAGGAAACCAGAAACGTGACAAATACCTATGCCCTTGACGGAATGGCTTTCTACAGTAATAAAACAACAAACAATCTATGAAGCTCCAGGGTCTCCATTGTAACTAATTTACAAAATCTTTTGGTAAATTAGCCCAAGCTATAGAAGTTCTAAACAAATCAGCTGACAGGTCAGATTTCGCGAAAATGATAGCTCCAGAAAAAATCTGGTACCTTCTGGCACTTCATGAAGTGTTGGGAGACTTAAAAACTCATAACATGAAAATCAGACCAAAGTAACCATCAGAAAATGCTACTAGGATAAGTCACAAATCCGCAAATCCTTAGAGTCATAATTATGTAAAGTTTAAAAACACCGGTGAAATACACTAAGTGTGAATGAAATTCTTACTATATATATTAAGGAATTTTTTTATATTATTCGATTAGAGGTCATACGTCCGAAAGTAAATACCTATAACGTTGGTCTGAAATTCTCGTTATTTTATTTTCTTATTATCAGCTACGAAAGTTCACAAGGGCTTAACAAAACATAATATATATTACGTAAAATAACCTGTGCAGGATATTAACAAATATATTTATGCATGTAGATTATGATTTTGAAAAGTATCATAGGAAGCATAAAGATGAGTTGAAGATTCCGGTAACATTGCAAGTCCTTATCTCGTTATTTTCAACTTGATTTTAGCATTTAACACGAATAAATCTAGCTAGTATTCGCATATACATCATCAATAATCTAAAGTACTTGTATAATGATTATCAGGTAAGCAGGTAAACTCCAACCTTCTGGTAGAACATTCACCAATAACGGTAGTTCAACCCATAATCCATTAACAACAATCCATGATCCTAGACCATATAAACTGACAAGACAAGCTGCAAGCCATGTGAACTTTATGTCATTTTTTGATGGGACCATGCTAAAATGAGAAAATAACATTATGTGCAAATATATTTAAGAAAACTAAGTAACATTAACATCATGAATAGAGATTAATTTTAGCTGTTAAACAAATAATTATTGGAGGAATAAATAATTACTATATCAAGGCAATTTAAAAATGATTTGATAATGGAGTTTTTACACTTTATGTAGATAACTATCATTCACGCAAAAAAACATTACGAGTATTGAAGCAACCTCAAATAATAATGACCCAAATTTAGAAAACGTCCCATTAACGATAAAATTCTGATACAGACTTGCACTAATTTAATTTTAATGTCTCAAATGCACCAATTTTTACGTTGCACTAAAAATAAATATCTTAGTACTTTGGTTTTTTTATCATTTGAACTAACGTGATGGCATCAAAACTGATTGATCACTGGGTGGTGATCAATGTCATGTGTGTCAAGTCCTTATTAGTGCAGATCGAATGCTATCGACCATGTTGCAATGTGGCCACCAGTCTAGGTGACTCGACGTGCGTGCACTATGTTGAGATTAGATGGTGGTTGGAGGTAGTCGACAGGAAACCCTGGACCTGGGTTTCGTGCTACTTGGCTCTCGTCAGCAAGGTGTACCTGTAATATTGAGGGAACTGGTGCTCTTTGACGGGTTCGATCCCGTGTCACTCAGCTTCACAGTCAGAAGCGTTACGACTGAGCTATCCAGGCCGCGACCAACCTCCAGCCACCATCGAATCTCAACATAGTGCACGCAGTGTCGAGTCACCTAGACTGGTGGCCACATTGAAACATAGTCGATAGCATTCGATCTGCACTAATAAGGACTTGACACAAATGATATTGATCACCACCCAGTGATCAATCAATTGTGATTACATCTCAGACCTACAAGAGGTCGGTTGCGGCCCCGATAGCTCAGTGGTAACGCCTCTGACTGTGAAGCTGGGTGACACGGGATCGAACCCGTCAAGGAGCACCAGTTCCCTCAAGATTACAGGTACACCTTGCTGACGAGAGCCAAGTAGCACGAAACCCAGGTCCAGGGTTTCCTGTTGACTACCTCCAACTACCATCTAGCGTGATGGTAAATAACATCCAGAGCAATCCATGAAGCTTCTTATGAACCAGTTAGTCTCAAGAAGTAAAAACGCCGAAAGTTATTTTCTAAAGGGTTGCGGCTACTAAACTATCAGGAACAAAAAAACCAATATTACTAACAGACTGTTCTTTTCATCAACAGTATGTATATATTTTATCACTCATAGTGCACTCGCAATAAAAGTAAAGGATGACCTGAATCCTTCGACTTGTACATGTGTTTATAAATGTAATTGCTTTTATGAAAACAGCTACATAAAAAACTCAGTGACTTTATTGTTACCATCTAGAGTATGGTTGTGTGGCCATAAAAAGACACAAAATAGAATCTATAAAAGCTTAGGATTCGACATTATGTATAGAATGTCAATGAAGCTTTTAAAATTTGTGTATCTCCACTAACTAAGTATATCAAAAGCAATATGCATCAGAAATTAGTAACAAAAATTTATGCATACGAAGTCATTTTCTGGGATTCAATCCTTTGTACAGTATTTATTTATCGATGGCACAGTACATCTGTCCTGGTCACATAAGATAAGAATAAAATTTAACGTTATGTGCACTTTCAGTATTTTTGCTCTTATAGATGTTTTTTCGGGTTCTATATTGCATACGACTGACTGACTGATTACCCTTCTTAGTGTCCACCTTTTACTTGAAATTTCGTATTGTTCACAAAGCTTTTGATCTTTCATCAGACTTGCTATCTATAAGACAATATTTTATTCATAAAATTTTTAATGCGCTTCGATGACCATAAAAATACTGGAATGACTTGCATTATTACTATCAACACTATCATCCAATAATTCATATTCATGTACTATAGTTCCACTACTTGCAATAGATTTAAGTGTTTTGAATTAACACTGTTATTATAAAGCCTGACGGGAGATGATAGATTATACGGATTAGCTTAAACTGTTTTCCAGTTATTAAAATGGAAGTATCTAAATGCTGGTAGCTTAAATGGAAGATTTTAAAGCTAAGCTATTTTATGGTCTAGAGTTTTGATACGCGAATTATTCAGCGCTTAGATGGATATTTTCATATGATTATATAACGAAATAATCTTCCAAACATTCATATACAAAACTAAAGAGTTTTAATGCAAACGTTTTTGACAAAAGTACAAACTGAACGCGAACAAGTGGTAATTGATCCCAGAACGAATTAGTAAATATTTCTTTGATTTAAAAAAGCAGTTTCTCTTATAACTTTTTCTCCATATTATGATCATTCTTACGTGTTGGTATATGCTCTTGAAATAACTACAGAGACAGTCTATGTAAATAATGAATCAAATATTAAAACAAGTTTTATTGGAATCCTGAACTAATCTAGGTTAGATCATCATTGAGAATCCGGAAGCACTGGACGGTCGATTTGTCCTGGATCGGTTCAGGATTTCAATAAAATCCAGAAATTTCCATAACCCTATACTTGGAATCGAAACTTGACTACGTAATGTTGCGAGAATCATGGAATACATTGTAAACAGTAATTAAATCGAACTAAATAGATGAGACTAACCTGGTTATTTTCGCGTACTTTTACGTTAAAAGTTTTCGATAAGTACGTAAATGACTAGATTAATCATTACCATCATTAAGTTATGGGGTTTTAAAAAATAGGTATAAATATGACCATGAAAGTATAAGCCCCAGATTCCTTGGCACGGCCGAGAGTGAAGAGACTCAGCTCTCCCTCTCCAACTGCTCTCACATAGCCACGTGCACAAACCTCTGCCAGGGAAGTCCTACTCACTGCCTTTTCTCAGAATAACTATTGTTTACGAAATTGAGAGGACGAAAAGTGCATGTCCGGCACTTTAATCGGGTTGGTGGATATGAAGGATCCATCTAAGAGAGTTGGAAAACCCTGATTCCAAACCAATGATGCACATGGGCTCCAGGATCCTAAATAAGCAAAGGGGATATGGACCTATTGTTAGTCACTGCCTTGAGGATTAGACCTTTAGGTCAAAGGCTCTGGGTGTGGCCCTCTAAGAAAACCACGTGCTTCGGTTTGGACACCCGAGAAGTATCTCAGCCCTCACACAAATCGAATGATTTATGCGGTGCATATCTATTTGGTGACTCCTTGTATCAATGTCTATGTGCTCAAATAAAATAAAATATATTGTGATCGATTGCCAAAACTTAAAATACTGATTAGCATGAAAGCCTCTGAGATCGAATGAGTAAAATAAGTTTAAAGTTATTATAGACATGAGAAACTCCGCTATGGTCGAACGTACCTTTACATGGTTTCCACAACATCCGGGTTATACTCGAGAGAAATCGGAAATCGAACACTTTCAGATCGGAGCAGACAGGTTCTAAAAGTGTGTGGTCGAATCTAAATGCGGTGCTTCACAGTCGATCAACAGTATGATAATATCGTACACTACATATATTAGCAAAACGTCAGTTAGACACAAATAACCTGGGACGTACGTGCTGATCTTTTGCTGTGTATTGTGCAGTGAAAACTGTTACATATCTGCCGTGTCCCATTTTTTATTTTGCTCAAATTATACTTATCTAAATATGTATATCAAATGACGCTGATCCTAAAATAAGACGCGTGCATGACTTACAGAAGGTCGGGATACTTATCTGTAGCATTTTTCCGGAAAAAAGGGGTGTTAGTGGGACATAGATTGGATTTAAGCATGCTCAATGCACGATTGCTTTGGCGCACGCTGATTGGCTGATTCTTATCCAATCAGCGCTAGTCTATACATGGAGAAGCTTCTAGATTCTTCTTATGTAAAAAGCTATAAATATACGAACGGTTTTCCTATTTTGCTTCTTGCTTCTTGCTTCACCTAACCTTGTTATTTGGAATATAATCTCCTTCCTGCTCAATCGTGTTCTGATTTGGGGCCTTGTCGAGTGAATCTGTGACCGTGAATACTAAGCGATAGGAATAGCTGGGTTATAACCGTAAGAGCGAAAATATAACAGTGGCGACGGGGAAAAAGGAAAATAAATTCAATATGTCCATATCAGACGACCAGCTTAACCGAATACTACAACAACAGCAAAAACAATTAGATGCACAAATGCGGTTGTTAGAGACTCTGACTCAACAGCTTAACTTCCACTGCTCGAGTTCACATGCCATTTCAAGTACGCCTTGTGATGCAGTTGCTAGCAGCATACCAGAATTCATCTATGATCCCGAAAGTGGAAATACTTTTCTCACGTGGTTCAAACGTTGGGAAGATACATTTAGAATAGAATTCTGTAACCAAGACGACGCGTAGAAGACTCGACTGTTGGTACGTAAGTTAGGAATTAATGAACATGCACGCTATGCTGACTATATATTGCCTAAGTTACCTCGAGAGCTCAGTTTCGAGGAGACGATAATTCAATTGTCAGAGATATACGGTGAATCCTCCTCATTGTTTAGTATTCGACATCAGTGTCTAAATTTGGTGAAACGCGAAGCCGATGAATATGGTGTTTTAGCAGACATCGTCAACAGAGAATGTGAACGGTTCAAGTTACGCTCGTTGACAGAAGACCAATTTAAATGCCTAGTATTCATCAAAGCTCTTCAGTCACCACAAGATGCCGAAATCAGGACTAGACTTTTGGCTCGACTAGATCAAGACCCAAACGTCACACTCAGAACGTTAACAGATGAGTGTAAGCGGCTACAAAGCATCAGACACGACAACGAGTTGATTGAACAGGCAAATCCTAATTTAACCTACAGTAGTGTCAATGCTATTACTAGGTTAAAAGTTAAGAAGCCGATAACAACTCGTAATAAACCAACGACTGCATGCTGGTTATGTGGTGATTGGCATTATGTACGATTCTGTCCATTTAAGAAGCATATATGTCAGGTGTGCAGCAAACGTGGACATAAAGAAGGTCATCGTCCACCGAATCGTACGTCTCATCCCAAAAAGAAGCATAAACGTTCTCGACATGTGAAATTAGCCGAGTTTAAATCTCTTTCTCTGGTAGCTGCCTTTCAAACAAACTATGACATTCGGAGAAAGTATGTTACCATCCAGATAAACGGCATATCAGCTCGTCTTCAAATTGACACGGCATCAGATATCACCTTAGTATCTAGAGAAACGTATAACTTGCTGGGTAAACCGCCAATGAAGCCATCTAAGAAAACGGTCAAAAACGCATCAGGTGGTGTGCTAAAACTGGTTGGTGAATTACAATGTGAATTTTCCTTCAATGGAACTAACTGTACAGGAATATGTTACCTAACAGAACGGCCAAACCTTGATCTTCTTGGTCTAGATATGTTAGATAAACTTGGAATAATGGATGTACCGATTAACAGTGTCTGCAACGTATTGTGTTCATCATTAGACACCCCAGTACTTGCAAAGAAGACAGGTGAAAGGTTACTAGAAAAACTGAAAAGAAAGTTTGCCTCCATAGCAGTAAACCCAGAAATACGAAGTATAGTGGCAGATGCCATTCGAAACACTCCAGTGTCGTCAGATGAAGTCAGAGAAGAAACTCTTCGAGACCCGATTCTACAAGAAGTTAGAAAGTTCCACCTGGAAGGATGGCCCACGAAGATCAGTTCCACAGAGCTTCAACAGTTTTACCAGCGTAGACTCTCTCTCTCAATCATCGACGACTGCCTGCTGTTTGCAGAACGTGTCATAATCCCAAAGAAGCTACAACCAGCAGTGCTTGAACAGTTGCACGCAGGACATCCTGGAATAAATCGCATGAAAGCATTAGCACGAAGTTATGTATACTGGCCGCATTTAGACACTCAACTGGAGCAGCTATCCCGTTCATGTACCAAATGTGCATTAGCAACGAAAGCACCGCGAAAAGCAGAGCTGCAATCATGGCCAATACCACAGTCACCGTGGCAGCGTATACACTTGGACTTTGCTGGTCCACTTCATGGACAAACTTACCTTTTGGTAGTTGATGCATATAGCAAGTGGCCAGAAATCTTTCTCATGGAACACCCGACTGCAAGCTGCACAATCAGTAAGCTACGTCAACTATTCAGTCGTTTCGGAGTCCCGGAATTGATAGTTAGTGACAACGGAACACAGTTTACGTCCGTAATCTCACAATTTTGTCGGCAGAACGGAATCCATCACGTCCGAACACCTCCATTCCATCCCCAATCAAATGGTCAAGTGGAACGCTTTGTGAGTACATTTAAAAATGCTCTAAAGAAATCTAAAGGGGAGGGGACCACCGAAGAGATCTTAGAGAGGTTCCTGCTTATTTATCGCTCGACACCGAACCCTCAGACGATTAAGGGGGTCTCTCCAGCAGAAGCTCTACTTGGCAGAAAAATACGAACACATTTCGATGTCATCCGTCCTACGCCAGCTCTTGAGCCTCAACGAAACCTATCTATGGAGAATCAGTTCAATCGACATCATGGGGCACAAAAACGGTTGTTCACGGTGGGACAAAAAGTACTTGCTATGGACTATCGTGAGAAACATCCTACATGGACAGCTGGTCGGATCTTGAAAAAGAAGGGGAGTGTGGTTTATGAGGTGTCAGTTTGCTCAGAAGTTTGGGTACGTCATGCTAACCAATTGAAAGCAACTTCGATAGCCAGCAACGAGATTCAATATCGATTACCTCTTGATGTTCTGCTAGACACCTTTGAAATCAAAACGCCTGGAACAGACAGGTCAGTTTCTGTGCAAGCAAAGAGTGATACTTCTTTATTGCCTAGACGATGGACAAATCGAAAGCACAGGCCAGTCACTCGGTCGCAGTTGGACCCTAGCACCAGATCCTACGAATCTGCTCAAAGGGGAGGTGTTAGTGGGACATAGATTGGATTTAAGCATGCTCAATGCACGATTGCTTTGGCGCACGCTGATTGGCTGATTCTTATCCAATCAGCGCTAGTCTATACATGGAGAAGCTTCTAGATTCTTCTTATGTAAAAAGCTATAAATATACGAACGGTTTTCCTATTTTGCTTCTTGCTTCTTGCTTCACCTAACCTTGTTATTTGGAATATAATCTCCTTCCTGCTCAATCGTGTTCTGATTTGGGGCCTTGTCGAGTGAATCTGTGACCGTGAATACTAAGCGATAGAAATAGCTGGGTTATAACCATAAGAGCGAAAATATAACAAGGGGAAAGGATTCGAGGAAGTGTCGTCTTAAACCAAGTACTATTTAAAATGATCCTAAAATGGAGGGCACAAAAATCCTTTGTCAACTAGAGGTTATGAATAAGATAATATCGATTCAGATAAGATCTGGGAGTGAGAAGCCCAGTTTGAATAAAATAATCTGTGGAGTTGACAGAATGTCAACTAGTAACACCCGACGGCGTCTCGGGTGACAGGCACTTTTTCGACAGTAGATAGTATGTTGCCTCAGGAACACTTATTACACTGTCTCATCTCCGTGCCCGATGAAGATTTCGATCTAACCAACGAGGAAGAGGTCCTCAAGGAATTTCCAAATGTACTGTTCTGTCCACTACTCTCACTCACTTAATGGTTTTTAACCATAACTACTATTTTCCTTACCTCCTCACAATTTCACTTGTTCCCAGTCGTACCAGTATTTATGTGTACCGAATAAAATTAAGAAAAAAATATCTGATATCACTAGAAAATAGAATCAAAAGGAAGGCAGCCCTAACTGATTTAATAACCTGTCGACAAAGTGGTAATGGAAACCTTCGTCTTCGGGTTTTCGAGTAGTTAGATTTTGAAATCAAATGCTTTCAAGTCCTGTATGAACAGATTGCTTCGTTTAAAAGTTTTGTTTCCAAATCCTCGAAGACCAGAAAACAAATTCCATAGACTATGAGTAGTAATAGACGAACTGATGCCACATATCATAGCTACGACTGAAACTTGGTTAGTTCATGACTCAGACCACTGCAAAACTAAAACGTTGCACTCACCTGAGTATTGATAATATATGCCGAACCCCACATGTTTTGATTCAAATCAGAGGTTCTCTTTGTGGGACTTGGTAATCAACCACGAAGTGGAGGACATTACCTATCTAGCTGTCCTCCCACCAATAGTTGATAGTGGTTACACAGTTTTGACATCCAGGTTTAGAGCCTGTGATATGGTCAGGTTTGAGCTCACCTAATTGTAAGAGATTTATTTTTTATTATTATTTAAACACATAGATATTGGTACAAGGAGGCACCAAATACATATGCGCCACACGAATCTCAATTGATTTGTGTGAGGGCTGTGATACTGCCCGCGTGCCCAAACCGAAGCAAGTGGTTTTCTTAAGGGGCCACGCCCTGAGCTGTCGACCTGAACGTCTGACCCACACGGCAGTGGAGCATCGTGAGGAGATGCAGTCCCATGGAAGCCGGTGACCGAAAGTTGGTTCATACGCCATTTGTTCCTTCAGGATACTGGAGCCCATGTGCACCATTGAATTGGGATCCGGTTATAGCGCCGGACATTCGCTTTTCGTCCTTTCATTTTCGTAAACAACACCCCCGCCACGAGAAGGCAGTGAGTAGGACTTCCCTGGCAGAGGCTATATACGCGTGGCCGTGTGAGAGTATTTCGAGAGGGAGAGTGGACTCTCCTCACTCTCGGCCGTACCAGGGCGTTTGGAGGCCTAATAGTAAATATGTTAGCTATCAAGGACTATGCTGAAGCAACGGATCGGTCGGTTAACACTAACACTTTAAGTGAAGAGCTCCATTACCTCTCTATGTATACCATGCCTAAAACCAAATAGACCTAACAAAAACCCATCATGGATAACAAAAGTGGTCACGGAACTCCTTAGTTATGGGAAAAAACATTTGGTCATGTTTCTTCTCTACAGGGGCTGAACAAAATATATCCACTTATTGTAAAATGAGAAGGGAATCAAAAACGTTCATAAGTACAGTTAGACTATCCTATGAGAAGCAACTGATCCGCCACTTGGAAAAAAGCCACAAAAGGTTGTTCCCCTATATTAAAAGATAAGCTTATAGAAGTGATGGGATTCCCTCATTTCTGATCTGCCGAAATCCACTAGAAAGAGGCCAGATTAGAAAGAAAAATGGAGATATCCTAGCAGATTTGACTTGCATAGTTCTAAGCAGTCTTCGATAAAGTCTCATAAAAGTTTTAGATTAAAACTGACGTTTCAAAAACAATCTTAGTTAGAGATTGTAAAGAGTGAGAACAAAAGGTATTCTGTCATCATGTGGTTTTGAGGGGTGGAGTCTCGCAACAAAATAAAACAGAATCTAAGCAGTCTCCACAAATATATGAACCGACTAGCTTCAGAAAATCATGATTATCGATAAAACCATTATGAATCGCCTTAAAACCCAATGCTTGTAAGACGGTGACCAGTATGACTTTGGAAATGGTAAGTCATGCAAAATACACTTTATTTGAGGGCTGGTCAGCAAGAAGTAAATTATATTAGGGAAGGTTTGGACGAACTTCCTGACACTAAGGATATTGGATCCGGAAGACTTAAAGACTGCCACATACTCACGTAGATAGGCTAGAGCTTTTGTAGTTAGCAGACAATACAGACTAAGAATAGTTTAAAGTTTTTTAAACTAGTGCTTAATGCAGTGTTCCAGGCCACAGTACTGTAGTACATTAGACTTACAAATCTAATGTTCCTTATACTGTACGTCAGTGAACTCTCAAAATCTACCAATTCTTGAATAATGTGTTATGCAGATGAGGTCAGAAACTGAAGACGAACTGTATTCCATTGTATCCATAACTTGTATATACTGTCTCTTACATCGTGTAATCCACTGGAACCTACTGCCGAATGTGTCTGCTTCCATGGCTGCCTGAATCATCTAACAGAATACAACAAATGCAGAAGCACACTAAAAGAAACTAGGACGGGCCCACTACTAACTAAAATAATTTAACCTGTAAACAGGCGTGTAGACACGTCCATAGGAAAAAGCCGAAGGGTTCATCAATACACATAACGAAAAAAAATTATTGGCAGATAAGTTAGTATTGAGAATACACTGCTTTAGTCATCTTAGTTGCATAGAAACCCGCAACGACTTACGCTTAGAAGTCAATTAGCGACAACCTCAGAAAGACTATGCTTACATAACGCAACAGCTGAACAACCCACTCTATTCAGTTTCACATTTCAAATTTGTGTTTGTAAGAAGAGAAGGCCTACAGCCTATGTTATTACTTATCTAGTATGCTTCTGTGAGTGTCTAGCCTTCTCTTGAATGGGTCAATCGGAGGTGAGGATACCACGACTCCGAGTAACAGGTGATGACGGAGTGAAAACCTATATGTCATGGGTTTTTGTCCGTTCCTGACCTTCCTACTCACCTGCTATTACATCTGAGTTGTCCAAATCTAGTGGAATTGAAAAGATAAGACAAATTGAGTCTAAAATCGTTTCTTAATGTCTTATACATCAAAATCAGATCACCTCTTAATCTGCGGTAGGACAGATTAAAGAGGTTGTAGACGTAAATAAATCCCTAAAATAAATAGCTCTATAAGTCTTCGACATTTGATGCTGACCAAATTATTTTTAATGGACTCACTTAGCTGAGTGCGCTAGGTCATGCATCCGCACTAGATCACGAGTGGGAACGCCGTGCTCAACATCCCCTACAATCGCCAACCAGTCGATCATCGATATATTGATAGCTTATCAAATATACCTTCGAACCTCCTCGCTTCTGACTTTTGATTTCACTTGGTGGGTGCGATTCAGAGTAGAGGGTGTTGCTGGTCAAAGCGTTGGCGAACTCCAAATACCTGTTGCATCTTCATTGTTGAGCCCGACATGATCTGGTACACGAAATTACAAACTATGAGTCCGTGCTTTATTAGGATTGTAAATATCACTGCTTTGCTTTAATTTTTATATATTGTGATATTTTTTCCGTGTTTTTGGATATATATATTTCCCATCCATTCTTGTACTTGATATTTCGACATGAGGGAACAGACACCTATGGTACTAAAGTTAAAGACTATGACCCCAACTTCTTTTCGACTAATACCCTTCTGACCGGGCAGCATTGAAGCCTGGTCCTGCTACACGAAAGATGGCTTCCATGAGCACTGTGTAGCTGATCCACGCGCACAGTTCCTCGCAGTATTCAATGCACTACCGAGCGAATTTAACAGGTACGTAACACTTAGTGTGTTTATTAGTGATGTTTCGGAATATTACCTAACCGACCGACTAAGGTTAGATCAACTCCTTAATAATATCCATCCGTAACGTGGTTCTGCGACAACCATGTTGCTAAGAATGAGGAAGGTGATTGGCCAAAGGACTTTCGATGATGACCTATTCAAACAACTTTTCTTATCTAAACTTCCTCAACTGGTGCAAGCTATGCTGTTCTCGTTTCAAAACAATGCCATAGACGAGATGACTGCATCTGCCGACCGCATCTTAGAAATCAAATCTTCTAACGTTTTGGTTTTTTCAGTCAAAGAAAAACATCGAACGATCAAAAATGACATTATGGAATTGTGTCATTCACTTACACGTTATATTAGATTTCGTGATGACCGTAAACAGTCACATACCCCGAGAAGAAGCGCCTCACGTAAGCGATCTGTCTCTAGACCACGAGAGACGGATCACCCCGACTGGTACTGGTATCATAACCAGTACGGAAAATCTTCTAGAAATTGCAGGAAACCCTGCAATTCGGGAAACGTCCAAGCGGGCACGCGTTAACGGCAACCGTAACAGGCAAGCACGGTCGTCTTTTATACGTCACAGATTTGATAACGAAAGTTCTCTACCTAGTCAACACTGGTTCAGAAGTTAGCGTTCTCCCAGAAAATTCTGACGACCGGCTTCACGAACGGTTTTTAATCTACAGGGGGCAAACGGAAAGCCTATCGCCACGTATGGCAAAAGGTACGTTTACCTCAACGTGGGTTTAGGCAAACCCATTCACTGGATCTTTGTTGTCGCGGATGTTTCTATGCCAATCATTAGTATGGACCTTCTACAGAACCGCAATTTAATCATCGATACGCGCAAACGGAGGCTAATAGACGGAAACACTAATTTATCTGTTTGTGTAACTTATTTTTCCAGTTGTAGATTATCTCCAGTCACAATTAAGCACACTATAACCCATTCTATCAACCACTACTCGTTAAGTATTCTGGCATTTACCAATCGCGACCGAAATTGCAGTGTGTAACCAGCAACGTTACACATCACATCACAACCACAGGACCACCTGTATACTCTAAAGCACGTCGACTGGCCCCCGAAAAGCTGGGGTTGGCCAAGAACGAATTCGACCACATGATAGACTTAGGTATCATAACACCGTCAAACAGCGCATGGGCGTCACCGTTGCACATGGTTCCCAAAAAGGACAGCAACGATTGGCGTCCAACTGGTGGCTATTGGCGATTGAATGAGAAAACCATTCCTGATCGTTACCTTTTGCCTCACATTCATGATTTGACAGCTACCTTGAAAGGTGAAAATGTCTTTTCTAAAATCGACTTGGTTAAAGCACATAACCAAACTCCTATGGCCACTGATGATATTCCTAAAACCGCTATCATAACTTCTTTCGGTTTGTACGAGTTTTTGTCTTTCGGCTTAAGAAATGCTCCCCAGACCCTCCAAAGGTTCATAGATGTCGTTTTTCGCGGTCTCAACTTCGTACATGCGTATGTTGATCACTGCTTGATAACAAGTCCGGATAGAGAATTTCATCTTCAGCATTAGGACCTTGTTTTCGAACGACCGCGAAAGCATGATATTGCTGTAAACAGTATGCATTCCAAGTAGGGTTGCTAAATAAACATAATCTATAAAAGTGAATATCAGTTCATTCGTTCAGATGTCTTGGAGCGTTAATGATTAGGTTTATGCTCTGGTATTACACTAAGTAGTCTTCAAAATATTTTCCCAAGTGGCATCGCGTACACGTTACACACCAGGTTCTATCTCGGCATAATTGTGTTAGAATTTCGGTCATGCTAAGTATTTATGCAACGCATCTTTTTAGGTTTACAGTTGATATAAAGTAGACTTGTAGAGAGCTTGGTGTGAACTATGACCTTGGGAAAACGCGTACATCGAGTTTGTTCCAGATTTCAGAAGTTCCATAACAGTGCCCCTAGTGCAAGATTCTGAAAATATAGAAACAGAGAAGCAGCAAGGCATTTGGATATGATATCAGGATGCCATCACTTTTCCGAATTCAACTGTTGAAATAAGAGGTAGAATGTAACAGAAAGAATACCCCCTTCAAAGCATTCATTGGATAGTGTCATCATTTCTTTATCCATTCTGCTTGTTTTATATTTTGAACTTTATTTACTTCTCTTTTTATCCAAACTTTTTGTCCTTTGGTCTTCCTTGTCAGGGCTTTTGTTATTTGATCCTGGTTAAGTATTTACCTTTTATTACTTCATTTACTGCTCATATCAGACCATTGACAGTGAGATCGTATTTCGCTAAACTGAAAGTCACGGCGTGGTTCAGTGTATGACTGTTAACCTTTAACTGTCTGCTTAGAAAGATAGCTGGAACCCTTGAAGATAGATATTCAATCCCATAATGTCGGGAATATTTCTCATTGATCCTCAGGTATCGAAATATCGTTCGTCAACTATTCCTTCCGTTAAGTAGCACATGTTTTCCTTCCTAAATAACAAACATTTAACGTGTTGGGAAAATTCAGAATATTCCCCTAAAAGACAAGAGAAGCCCTAAAAATTATGGGAAAATGTTTATCCAGTTAGCATCGTATCAAATTTTCTCAGAAACATCTACAATATGAAGAGTTATGTGTCAGATTTCTGAGTGAATTATTACCTATCTTGCTATTATGTTTCGTAGGGTTCCAGAAACACTCAAAAGCTCAAGGCCATCCAAAATGGTATGAATACCATAAATTTTCTATACATAAACAAACCTTGGATTAAAGAGTTTTTCACATTTTGAGCCTTTTCTCTCGTGTTCAAGTGTCGTGTAGAATTAACCTCAAGTTATAGAAGACATTAGAAAAGAAATTTAAGCGTCCAGTTAGATTTATTAAAGTTGGATGTAGTTTGTGTTTTGATATAATTTGATACGAGTCACTCACAAATGATTCGTACGTTATACAGAAGTACGCAGTTTCGCTTCATCGAGTAAACTTTGGTTCGTTAGCTCTGCGTTCAAACCGAATATTGGTATTTTGGACATCACAGTTCTCAAACGAGAAGTTATCAACGACTGAGAAACATCGGAATATCTGATAAGCTCAACAAGAAGATCACCTTAATCTCAGTGTTGGACGAAGAAGAAATATTATCGGATGAGCCTACAGATATACAACAAGTGCAATTTGATGCGTTTACATATTGTGGCTCTAATGTTAGTTTAGATAATCAATATAATAAAATCATTTGAAAGAAAGGCAGTTGTGGGAAAGATACGTGTTAGAAATAAGAGAGTTAAACTATGAACTGAGGAAACAATTACTATGTCTCTCAAGGTAGTTGGGATCTTTGGGCTAAAAGAGAATATGATTAGTTAAGTATCATCTGCGTTCAATTGTAATGAAAAACGACAAAAATGTGTTAACCATTCTCATCATGACCTTAGAGACAATTTGTCTCCGATGAAACCAAAACTGTTAGACTATTCAGAAAGAACAAACTATCAGTCTTCAGTAATAAGGATAGTAGGTTGGTGAACTTGTGTTAATTCTAACAGATTGCCTTCTAGTGAAGGTCCAGTTTTTCCTTGAAAATATTCACTGATGGAGCTGATATCACTTGTTCGGGCAAGGCGTTACAATCATTGACTACTCGATAAGAAAGACGGAACCCCACTTTAAGTTTATTAGATCGCGGTTTATGAATGTTCTTGCCATGACCTCGGAGATTATTAGTGCTGGAGGGAGCAAAAAGATAAGACAGATCAACACCCAAATCATAATTAAAGATACGAAATGTCAATATAAGGTCAACTCGAATCCTACGATACGACAAGAGGAAAAGGTTTAGGCGTTTTAAAAGCTCCTCGCAAGGGAGATTAGAAAGACCTTTCAATAATTTCGTTCCCACACACTGAACACGCTCAAGTGAGTTAGTATCATTTACCAGACATGGGCAAGCTGCTTGGATACAGTACTCT